TCTTTATATGTAACCGACAATTATTATTAGTGCATTTCGTAAGCACAATAAATTAAATTATAACGTATTTTGTTAATTTTGTATTTACATAAATTTGCCTAGTAGAATGATGAGATTAAGAAAAAAAAAAAAGTTCAACTCATCGCATATCCACGTAGATTATTAAATAGAAAAAAATTAGAATGTTATTTAATCTAACTTATCAACTTATTTTACAACATCAACTATCTTTTAAGTAATAAAGTATAAACTCAAAATTCACTTATAAACTATCAATTAATCTATTAACAATCTAACTAAAGTTTTTTACCAAACATTGTGTTCCAAAAATAATTGTATGCAACTAATTTGAAAATTTTAGTTTATCATAATTATAATATGTTCCTAAATTTCTTACACATAACACTACTAGTATTTTATTTCATAAACAAGAACTATAAAGTTAGAAATCGCATAAAGGGCACGCCCAAAGAATATGGTCAAATCTTTGACCAGCCAAAACTTCAACACCAAATTGCATGTGAAAATATCATATCGTGACTAACAGTCCAACACAACACCATTTTTGTGAACGCTTTAATTCAAATTGATTCTTAGCATAATCAATTATGCGATTTTCAGTGTAAAAAAGAAACATAGAATGGAAGAATTCCCCATAGTGCCCTCGTCGGGCATTTTACCATTGGATTAAATATAATATGAATGTGTGTAGATCCAACAGTAAATAACCCGGTAAGGATTAAATTATTTTATAATATAATTTATGATTGAGAAATATTATTTAACACAAGTCATAGCATAATTTACCGATATTTTGAAAATACAAATTGTTGTGTGAGATAATTAATACCATTAGTCAAAATCGATCTGTCATACAGATTGTTTTAACAAAAATAAATACTTATGCTATGAAATATGTTACTCTACTTTATATTATAATCTAGTATTGACATTTCAATTTAAAAAATATACATATTTATTAAAAAATATATAATAGTTCAATCGTTAGTCTTAGCAATCTTGCTATTTTAAAAATGCATGCGCTGGAAAACTGTTCAAAATCAAAAAGAAAAACTGTTCCCTTAGACACACACCCGACAGAATATCTCACTGGAAATTATAATTCATTAAGCTTTTTTATTTTTTTCTGTAGATATTGTATAAAGTGAAACAGTAAAGGCAAAAAACTGCATTTTTGCATGCTTGAAAAAATCAGTCAATATAAGATTGCCCTAGATTGCAGGCGTGACCTCCGTATTCCCAGCATTTAATTTTATATTAACATGACCAAATTTTTTAATATTCGTTGCAGATTTATTGCTACATAGTATAAAAATTAATTATATTCAATAAATACATTTATTAGCGTAATTATAAACAGGAAAAGAAAATGAGTAATGCTATGAAACCAACTTGAATGACAACTTGAGTTACAAGTGTAAATGTATTATTTTTTTATTTTTTTCATAATACATTTACACTTGGGTTATAACCCAAAGTGAATAAATAACAGTACTCAAACAAAGTTAACAAAAGGGAAATGGTTGGCACAGTGGATTTTGTTGTTGCATGTCATATGTTAAGCAAAAAATTTAATGATGAATATAAATGTGAATGTGTTCAGAGTATGAAACTGACTAACTGTTAGACGGGTCGATTCGTTATACTTTGCTTTAACAAATTTATAATAATTTATGATATGAAATATCATACTTTATTTGCTTTGTTTTGTCAAATATGAAAGTTTAATTTAAAAATATGCCAATTTATTGAAAAAATATGATTGCATAATCTCAAACGTGTCTAAAAGCAATCTTTTTGAATATTAAAAGGTTTTTAAGACTGATTTTGTGGATTACATATATTCAATTACAAATTGCAGGGATCAGCCTCTTTATTGTGTTAATCTCAAAATTTTTGAATTCCACAACTACAAAAAGGTAAGTAAATCATACTCTTCAGCCTCTATAAATTGACACTCCTCATCACTTGTTTTCACACACTCAATTCCCACATTGCACTCTTTTTCTTTATGTGACATTTCTTTCACATGGTTACATCCACAAACACATTTATATTTGTTATTTGCAATAGTATGTGTTGATGAAGGTTTGTATTAGTATGTGTTGAGGAAGGTGGAAGAATGAGACGCGAGTCACGAGACATGCCTGGCTCCCTGTATGCCACCGGACAACAACAATCTGATCGACAGATTGATTTTTTCGTGTGGCGTACGCGGAGTCAAGCATGTCATAAAACCGCATTCTTCTTCGTCTTTCATATATTCTCTATTTTGAATACATATACACTTGTGTTATTCAACTAAATAGTTTGAATACAGATTGGTTTAGTCGTGTGGCCTATGCGGAGTCAAGCATGTTATAAAAGATAAGGTTGTTTTCTCTTCTTCATCTTTTATCTGTTTTGAATACATATACGCTTGTATTACTCATATAAACAATCTGATTGATAGACTGATTTAGTCGTGTGGCGTACGCAGAGCCAAGCATGTCATAAATGATGAAATTGTCTTCTTCTTCATCTTTCATCTCTTCTTTGATTTGAATACGTATACGCTTGTGCTATACAAGTAAACAATCTGATTAACAAATTGGTTTAGTCTTGTATTGTGTGCAGAGTCGAGCATGTCATCAAACTGCCTTTTTCTTCATCTTTCATCTTTTCTATATGTTTGGAATTTGGATACATATACGCTTGTGTTATTTAACTAATTTAATTTTCTACAATCTTTATTATAGGGAAAAGAAAAGGAAGAAAATGTATAACTTTTTTCCCCACTTCCTAGCAATGGCAAAGGATTTCCTGCTAATATTTTGATCTAGAGTAAAAAAAATTATTTTCAATTTAAAATGATTTTTATTACTATAATAATAATGATTATTTATTTGATCTTTTTCTTTTATGCGTGTTCCCCATGTTTCCAAGATTTGTATTACGCTGAACAGCCCAATTCTATCATTTTTGGGACGCAAGTCCAACCCAATTGAATATAATACCCGCATAAGAAGTTTCGTTTCTCAGCCAGCCCAATTAAGAGCTGGCAACCTGCGAAACAACTATCTGTAAAGTGTAAATAAAAATAAATAATTACTTTTATTTTTGTTTCTAAAAAAAAATCCTATTTTTGTAATCTTGTTTCCTCTACATTTATTATATGATTGAAATAATTTTATAAATCAAAATAGCATTATCAGTTGTAAATTTCATATAATTTATACGAAATCAAATCAAGTTACAAGCATAGGAATAAGAAATTATATTGAATTTGATTTTATAATAATTTTCAATTGTTACTTTAATTAGATTGAATTTGATTTTATAAAGTTAAATATATGATGGGAATAGAATTTTCTATTAACTGTTTGATAAAAAAAATTAAATAAGAAAGAAAAAAAATGATATAGGATAATATTTGGATTTTTCTCTTATAACTTGATCAGTAATTTGACTAATAGTTGATCGTTGAATAAATTGGTATGAAGTATACATTGAAATTAAGATATGAAAGTGCTTAAAAAAAATTAGATGATTTTAATTTGTAAAAAAAATAAAAAATAGTTTACTTTAAAGTCTTCTTTTCATTATTTTTTGTACATTAACAATCATAGATTGGATAACTAATTTTTTTTATAAAAAAAAAAAATCAAAACTACAAGGTTTTATAATATTTCTTAAATAATAAATATTGTGTAAAGACGAGTATTTAATAATATATGTTTTTCATTATTTTTATTTATCTTATTTTCATAATGAGATGAAATGTGACAAATATAATAATATATTTAAAATAAATCTAAGAAAATGTTTAAAATATGAGTTACTATATGGATCGCAAGATATGATTAGTATAGAAAATAAAATTCACCAATAATAATTGCCTGTCAAGTGTCAATCTGGACCGTCCACTTATGCAGTCTCGATCAGCCAGGTGGCTGACGTCAGCCCCGATAGCAAACACACAAAGCGCATGCTGTTAGACACACGACTTTAACCTAATTGGCCTTTAATTTGTTTAGTTATAATTTAAATCAGATGACTAATAATCACCATTTCGTAAGCAGCGAGACGAGTTGGTCATTGTTAATTATAGTGAGTCACGTCCTGTTTATTTTCAATTTTTTTTTTGTACGAAAAAATCATCAATATGTTATGTAATATATTATATTATATAACAAATTAAATGGGATCAATTTATGGTTGCTAATTATTTTAATCACAGGGAAGGATGCTTCTAATTATTCTCCTAATTATTAGCCTCATCAGAAATAAATTTAATTAAGAGGATACAATTCTGTGTCAGAGAATCCCAGTAGTGTGTTGAGGCTTTGTTTTATCTAGTGATTATTTTGTTTCTATGCATGAACATGGGTTATGTGTTGTCTCTACACTTACAAATTATACAAAAGATTCCAAAACTAGAAATTGATTGCCTATTTTGTATTTATTTGATGTCATTGCATAGAATGCCTAGCGATTTTTCCAAAAAACTAAATATATATATATATATATATATATATATGCTTTTAAATAATAACCATAACTCATTTTTGTATGACCTAAATTATATATTTGGTATATATAATCCTTGAATTTGACATAACACAATGTACGAATCAAGAAAAAAGTTATATTGTGTCACGAAAAAAAAAAATGTATCATTTTTATTTGTATTATTTTTGAAGTATAATATTTTAAATTGAAAGTATGAATATAATTGAAAAAAATATAGTTGTGCCTTAATATTCATTCTAGAATAATTGCAATTGCATCCTAATTGGCTCACAAACTCTTTCGCATCCCACCTCTTTCTTCTTCCTATTACTACCAGCATAAGTCAGCGTCTTCCTTTCTCTCTCTACAACACCATCTCATAATTAATCTCCTTTCTCTCTCTCTATATTACTTTCCCTCTCCAAACTCAAAATTCATTTCCAAACCTCATTCTTTTGCCTAACCGTTAGATATGCCCAGTCCTCATCATGGAAAATAATAATAATAATTTTCTAGGCGACTTAACCGACATCATCAGAGCTAGCGGCGCTTCTCCTCCCGACAAGTGGCAGTTCCCAACAAGCAACAAAACGGACAACCACCTGAACGAGCCAAGCCGCGATGATTTTGGTGACCCATTTACCCATTTCGATGACCCGTTTTTCCCTGGCAAGCTCGGGTTTTTCGATGAGAGTAAAAGTACATTAGGGTTTACTTCTTCTGTTGTTGTTGCTGCTGTTGTTGATGTTGCTGGTCGAAATAATAATAATAATAATAATAATAATAATAATAATAATAATAATAATAATGAAAATAATATTATTAGTAATATGATTGGCCGAGGGATTAGTCTTGAGGATGAAAAGAAAAGACCTAATTGCTATTTTTCGAGGATGATTCAGATATCTCCGGCAGGTGGGGCGCCGGTGGCGGCTTTGGATCGCCGGAATTCGGTAGCTTCGAAAAATGCAGCTCATATGCAGATCTCGTCTCCACGAAATACGGGCATCAGAAGAAGGTAGGATTTTTTTTTCTTCTATTTTGTTTTTTTTTTCCTTTTTTTTTTAATTAATTTAATGAAATGATGTTTGACTAGTAATTTTATTGTATATAAAGGTTTTTAACACTTTTTTTTTTGCAGTCAATGTAAGCATTTAATGAACTGCATACCAATTAATGAGCTTTTTGGGGTGATAAATTAGGCTATATTTCATTTTTACATAACAATTAATGAGCTTTTTGGGGTGATAAATTAAGTTATATTTCATTTTTACATAACCATTAATGAGCTTTTTGGGAGTGATAAATTAGGCTATATTTCATTTTTAGTGCACTGTGTTAATCATTTTTTTGAAAAGGTCCATTTATATAGGATGTCATCAAGAATGGTCCATTAAATTGACACTTTAATCACCACTCGTACAATAACCAACAGTGTACTAAAAGTGTCAACAAAAAATGAACACTTTTAGTATAATATGTTGGTTATTGTATGAATTTTTAATTAATTAACTCTCTAGCAAATAATCTACCACAAAAACATTTATGTTATTTTAAAAAAAATTATATTCCAATTTTTAAAATAGAATAAAACGTGATTTTAAAATAAAATTTCTCATCCCAATTTGAGCAATCGATAACTGCTTTGTAAGGCGAAATCTACTCTCTATCTATCACATGTTATGATATATACAATAGGTTTTTGGTTCCTCAAGAACAATAAATTCTTAATTTTAACATGCCAACTACAAAAATTGAATAAATATATGAATAAATAAATAAAATGAATGAATTTGTATGAATGGTACTGTTATATATATGTGTAACCCACCATACAGTATTCTCAATGATTTTCAGCTAGTGTTTTTGTTGAGCCTTTCATTTTCTCCTTCATTTTAGGCTTTTTTCCAACAAAAAGGAATGGTTTGCAATTATATGCAAAACAAATTAAAATAATAATATAATAATAAAAAAGAATAATCTGAAATTTTCATGCAAAATATATGAATCAGGAAGAGTCAGGTGAAAAAAGTGGTATGCGTACCAGCGCCAACTCCTGCAAATAGCAGGCCCAGTGGGGAAATTGTACCCTCCGATCTTTGGGCCTGGAGAAAGTACGGTCAGAAGCCCATTAAAGGTTCCCCATACCCAAGGTAAGATTCTTTGCTGTGAGAGTAATTTCTTTTCATAAAAAATAAATACTTATATTATAAAATGATATATATTTATTTATATTATTTATAAAATATAATTTGTAATTTAAAAATATGTATTGATTTTAAGAAAATATAACTGTCTAACTGTTAGCTTTGTATAATAGCCTGCACATTGTTATGTATTGGGCAAATGATTTCTTACTCACACAGACGCATCAATTATTATTGACTGATTATTCATTCTCATGATTTTTGGCTACCAAAAAAAAATTATTGGAGCTGATGATTTCGGATTTAGCTGGTGATGTTTAATTGCTAATTGAGTAATTAGCTTCTAATTGCTTCGACTTGCGTTGCCAGAAATTGAATTAGATTTAAATTTTTTCTTATTTTTGATCTTTTTTTTTGTGAATTTTCGATTTTACCATGGTTTTTTTAAACAATCAAGTTACTGTTAAGGAATTTGTTAATTACAATTAGTACATACACAATTTTCAATCAGAACAACTGAACATAACTAACTATTTTTTTTCTTGACAACTACTACATTTTCAAATGAAAAGAGTGATTAAAGGAAAAATAAATAAACAACACGTTGTGAAATAATTTAATTATCCAATCTGATACTATCATTTTACTCTTTACAAAGCGTGTTGGCATGTCTTTCAGATAAAAAACTTGACTATTGTTTAGGTTGTTAAATAGCAATCTGCGTTTGACTAATATACTCACAATGAATATTCTGCTCAAAACACATAAATTACTACATATATCTTGATTTTATAACAATTAGTTAATGAATATTTTTTGCATTTTAGACATAATACTTGATTTTGACGAAATATTGGGTATTTTCTGCAATCGCAAGAATTATTCGTTAAATGTGTCATTTGACACAAATTACAAAACATATTTTATAATTATGACAATTTTGATGCTTATGATATTATTATTTATATACTCCATAGGGGCTACTATAGATGTAGCAGCTCCAAAGGATGTTCGGCTAGAAAACAAGTCGAGCGGAGCCGAACAGACCCGAACATGCTTGTAATCACCTACAACTCAGAGCACAACCACCCGTGGCCCACCCAGAGGAACGCCCTCGCTGGCTTCACAAGATCTCAACCGTCCAAAACTGACACAACCAGCCCAAAATGCCCGCCGGCACAAAATCCCACGGACGAGCAAAAGAAAACCACCGGACCAGAAAACACATCATTCACGACATCAGCTGCTGACATCATCATCCAATCCACGAAAGAGGAAATGGGTCCGGATCCAGATTTCGATCCCGACCCAAGTTTCGACGACGGGCTTTTGGGTTGCTACAAGCCCGTTTTCCCAGGTCTCGACCACTCGGAGGATAGTTTTTTTGCAGATTTAGAGGAGATTGAGGCTGATTCTCTAGATATGTTCGGGTTCTTGGGCGGGTTGGGTCGCACGAGTTTGGATCCGGTTAGATATTACGATTGGGATGGGAGCAATGATGCATGTGCCAGTTCTCCCGGAGGTGCCGCCACACGCGACGCCAATAAGGACTTATGTTAGAAAATATATATAAAAAAAAAATAAAAAATGCTACAAGTACATAATAAATTTACATAGAGATGTACATAACACTCACATGAAGTGAGGTCCACTTGATTTTTTATTTTTAGTAGGACCCACTTAATGTGAGTGTCATGTACATCTCTATGTACACTATTATGTACCTATAACATTTCTTGGTCAAGTCATATATGCATTTTCTTATGGCCAAACTTAGGATTTGTTTTAAAATGCCATTTGTGTGTTGATCTAATCGTACAAAAACGTCAAAGACAATATAATTTCTATTTTTTGGAACATATAATTAGATGGGATATATAGAAAGCTCAATGAAGGGACTATGATGTTGGATGGGACTCAAATTTACATGTTGCGAGTGGATTTAATTATTCACACGCATATGCATGGCATGATTTATAGTCTATGTATATAATTGAGCAGAATAGAATATAAATGGTCATATGTATCAATAATTAAATTCGAATGGCACTTCACCGGACTTTAACTCTCCAGTTATTGACTAATAATAATAATAATAATAATAATAATAATAATAATAATAATAATTCTATGTCTTCCTAAAGTTTAAATTTAACAAAATAAGGAAATTCATATTTGAGATAACATGCACTCAAATTGTCTTTTGTTAATCAATGAACATCGAACTTTTTTGAAAAGAAAATAATGTGCATAGTTGTGTAGGTTTGTAGAAGCACTTTTGCTTGCACTAAATACTAATAATTAGTTGGCAAAACAGTGAGTTCAAGTTTTGTCAAATCCATTTTATCAACTTTTTTGATCGAAGAATTTTATGTAACTTTTAATGGAGAGACTGTTTAAAGTCATGATTTTGATGGAGAATGAACTCGCATAAATACCACTCCCCCTAACCTTGAAGTCGTGTGTTTTAAGCATTTTTTTTATCACTTTAATTAGTCAAATTTTAATCATAAGTTTGCCGCTTCTTGGATAATAATTTCTCCACTTATGAGTGCTCATCTTTAATTTCTCTCTATTGAAATCGAATATAATTCATGAAATAAATTAAAAAAATTATTTATTCATTTAAGAAGAATATAGGTTTGAATGAATGATCAATAATTTTGACTAGACTCATATTGCCATTTTGACATTTGACTATTCAAGGGTTCTGAATATGTAATATCCTTACCCAAACCATCCAATTCCAAAGTGGAAATACTAAAGTACGTACGTATAAGCTTGAAATTCGTTTATTTGAAATTTCAATTATGTCACTCCAAATGCAGTGTGTAGTTATTTGAGATTCTTTATTTCAAACTTGATACTAATATAAGTCAATTGATGGAATGCATCTGAGTGATTGTTTGGTAACATATTTTCAAAAGTGTATTTGAAAAGATGATTTTTGTAAAATGAACAAACACCACTTTTTTCAGTCTTATTCAATAGCTCCATAGAAGAACAATCAAATACACAAATAACAAACACACTCCCAAAGAAGAGTGGAGTTCAAGTCTTATTCAACACATTCCTAGTGACGACCACCTCAAAACCATCCGTTTCGACTCCAATGCTCCTCAATGGAGCCTGCAAAAACAAAAACCAAACACCACTTTTTTCAGATTCCGAAAAAAACATGCTTGAAAATCGAACTCCTAAAACCAAACAACTACGAGTGTGTTTGGTAAACACCATAAATTAACTAGTTTATAGCTTATTTGATTAGCTTATAAACTTCTTGTATTCAAATAAGTTTGGTTTGGTAGGAGAAACTTTTTTAAAAAACTCAAGTTTATAAGCTTCGTTAGATAGTTTTTCAAATAAGCTCGTTGAAATTTTTATTTCAGCAGCTTATTATCCAATTTTACAGATACTTTTATCTTATTTTTTCATTCATAAGTCAAAAGTTATCAGCTATAAGCTCGAAATTCACTTATTGCTATTAGCTAGGTTTACCAAACATAGCGTACAAGCGCTTACTTTTCGCAGTCGGTGTTAATGGAAACAGGGAAGCCAACCCTAATTTTGCACGCAGTCGGAATCTGGCTGAGGAACCTGTCCTGGACTCCACTAAAGTTTTTTATGCCGGCTTTTAGACATCTACATATGGCTTTCTTGTCGTCGACCGTTTTCACAGTCTGCGCAAGCTGCTGCAGCCCCGAGCAGCACGCGGCCGACGGTTTCTTGTCCTTCCCGGTGGCGAAGCTAATGCATGCGGCGGCTTTCATGTCCACCGTGCCGCATGGCGGAGCAGCATTACTCATGTGAACAAAGGAGTAAATGAGGGAGAGGATGAAGAAAAGGGATAAAATAGCACCACCCTTCATTGTTTTACCTTTTCTCAAGTTTTTGTGGGATTTTGGATGTTGTGAAGTAGTTAGTAGCTTTTGTAGATTGATGAGGAATGCTGTGGTGGACAGTGGGTTTATATAGAGAAGGATTGGGGGCTCATTGATGGCATTTGGTTACGTGGAGGTTGAGTTTCCCAATAACATGTGATCCTATGGATAACAATTTTGCAGGAAAGATTTCTTGGGATTGATGAGAGTAAAAGAGGGCAATTGATGCATTATGTTAACAATATTTTTCTTGTTTTTTTTGCAAATTAAGGTTCTTCGCCAACGAAACGTTTGCGAACAAAAACTTGCTCGTATTTGAGAACAGTTAGTTTGTTTGTCGATCGAATTCGAGTTTGAGTATAATTTGGCTTGTTTGATGATCAAATGAATAACTGCTTGTTCGCGAACTTTTGATAATGTTCAAGAACATTAATTTAATATAATTTTATTGTCATTTTTATATACATGTATTGTATTTTAATTAAAAAATATAAAAATATGAAAATATTTTTATTTTATTTTTTTATTTTCGAGTTCAAAAGAGTATGAACGAACAAATTTCGAGTTAATCAAACAATTTTTATAAGTTTGTTTACTAACTCAAACTTTTGACGAACAATTAAACAAATGAACTCGAACACAAACTTTTGCTTGAATAATAAAAGAACGAACACGAGCTCAAAATGCTCAAGTTCGGCTCGTTCGGTTCGATTACAAGCAAAAGTTTGATTTGTTCGTTGAAGTTGTCAACAGGATGGCTGTAAACTCACTTAGAATTAATTACATCTGCTTATCTTATGGCAAAGCTTTCTTTGCTTCAAACCGACTGTTATTTGAAATTTTGTTTTCTCTATCACATCAAGAACTTAATAATTAGCATTACGTTTTCACAAATAACCGTAGTAAAAATGCCTCAACAGTTAATAATTGGCCTTCCTGCATCTTATACCTCAACAGTTATCTTTGTCAATAAACCACAAATTCTTTGTGAGCCAGCATAATCGTTAGACGAGTCAATCCGTCAAACTCTTTGAATAAAAACACATATTTATACTATCAAATGTCATACATTTATCTATATCATTTTTTTAACATATGACAATATTTATTGAAAATATGCATATTTGTAAAAAGAATATGTTCTGTTAAAACCCACCTTAAACCCAGCTATAACCAGGTTCCTTTGATACCAACCGCTCTCCGATTACACTTCGAACATCTTTCACGTCGTCCCATCTGCCTAACGATGAATACATATTAGCTAAAAGCGTGTAAGGACCCGAATCACTCGGGTCCAACCGAAAAAGCTCGTTAGCCGCCTTTCTTCCTAACTCGACACACCCATGAACCCTACAAGCACTCAGCAAAACCTCCCAAATAATCCTATCATCTTTGCATGGCATCTCATCAATAATTCGTTCGATCTCACTAAACCGGCCTGCACGACCCAAACAGTCGACTATGCAAGCGTAGTGATTGCTTAGCGGCTTCAAACCAAATTTTTCTTCCAGCATCGAGTTAAAAATTCTCAATCCCACATCGGCCAATCCCGAATGACTACAAGCAGTTAAAACGGCGACAAAAGTTACTGAGTCGGGCTCGTAACTATTTTCAATCATTTTTCCGAAAATATTAACGGCTTCGTGCCCCTGCCCGAGCCGCGCGTACCCGTGTATCATCTCGTTCCAGGTGGCGGTACTTTTACACATCATCAAGTCGAAAAACTTATTCGCCTCGCTGACGTGGCCACACTTGCAGTACATGTCGATGACAGCTGTCCCCACATAGACATCATTCTCGTGCCCGGTTTTCGCGACTGAACAATGAACTTGCCTCCCTCGGGACAGAGAAAGTAGTGACGAACAACAGCTAAGTAATATCGTGTAAGAAAATTCGGTAGGTAGTATTCCTTTAACCAACATTTGATTAAAGAAAGTAAAAGCCTTTACTACGCACGGACTATTATTATTAAGGGCTAAACCGGCTAACATGGAATTGCAACAAATTACGTCGTGTTGGGGCAAATTATCGAAAATACCCTCTGCATCTTCTAATCTTCCGCATTTCGAGTAAACACCAATGAGCCCAGTTGCAACATGTAAGTCGGTATTAAATTCGGATTTTAAAAACGCGGCATGGATTTGCTTGCCACCTTCGAGAAAGCCGATTTCAGCACAAGAACTGAGAATCACAGCTAAAGTCGTTCGGTTGGGCCCCACACGTTCAAACTGCATTTCCCTGAAAAGCTTCACGACCTCATTATAACACTCGTTTTGCAAAAATCCCGAGAGTATAGCATTCCATGAGGCGAGGCTCGGGGAAGGTATACTATTAAATATCTCGAATCCAATTTCGATTTTCCCACTTCTCAAGCATTCTGTAAGTAAACTGACGAAAGTGACCTCGTTGGGATCGAATCCGCAAATCCGCATTCTATTAACGGACTCGATTGCCTTTTCAATTTGGTCCTGTTTTCCATATCCAGCTATCATAACATTCCACGAGACAACATTAACTTTTTTCATACTGTGGAATAAAATTTCTGCACATTCCATAAATCCGTGTTTTGCGTAATAATCGAGCAATGAATTGCTTACGTGCAGGTCTTGCTCGAATCCGAGTTTAACAAGAAGCCCATGAATTTGTCTACCAATAATCTCACGCCCCATTTCATTTTTGTCATCGCATAAAAGAAACTTATCGGCTACAGTTTTCGAACAAACACTTCCCAATACACTCGATATCGATACAGGGTCGATGAGCCCCTTGCTATGAATCAACTGAAAAATGCCGAAAGCTTCATCTTCACGGCCAGCTGCCACCAAACCCTCCATCATTGCAGTAAACGACACCTCGTTATGTTCTGGCAAGTCCTCAAAAACCATAACCGCATCACGAATGGACCCACACTTCATGTACATGCACAACAACGAATTACCGACGTATAAATTCGAACTGAGCCCGAGCTTTATGGCTGCCACGTGGCACTCCCTGCCACAATCTAAATTGCCCGAGCCCCCACATGCGCTCAGAACACTCGCCAGGGTGAAACGGGTTGGCCCGAACCCGCTCGATCTCATCGAGCGGTAGCTATCCAAGGCAGCCTCCTTCTGCCCATTTCGAGCAAGCAAGCTAATCATCTGATTATAAGAGACAGAGTTCTTCAGGGGCATTTGATCGAACATTTGGCGCGCGCTGCCCAAGTCATTCAATTTGCAGTAGTGATCTAAAACGGCGTGGTAGGAGAATATGTTCCTGAGGGGCATCTGGTCGAACAGGCGGCGGGCGGCAGCCGTGTCGCCGCATTTTGAGTGGAGCTCGATGAGACGGTTTACGAGAAAGGTGTCGGAGAGGTGGTTGGTTCGAAAAATGTGAGCTTGGACGAGTTTACCCGCGTTGTGGGCTCTGTGATCGATGCAGATTTGCAGCAAATTGGCTAATGAAGATGAAGTCTTGATATGCATTTCCAGTAAATTTTTGAAACCATTTGCTTTTGCAGTTGCAGGTTGTTAACGCTGCAAATGCTACTCTTGTAGAGGTGAATGAATGATTTTATTCGATAATAATCCGGTTCGATTAAAAAACGATTCAAATCGTGCTAGCCGGTTCGGTTTTGGGTGGAATCACCGGTCCGTTAAAACCAGAAAAACCAAAAGCAAATGGTTGAGAGAGAAGCCATGTTTCTTTCACCACAGCAGAAGCTATTCATGAGCCATTACTCAAAATGCAGCAGAGCTATTTTAAAGGATTTTCTGCTACTCAAGCCCACTCCAGCTCACGCTGCGCACGAGCTCTTACTTTTGCTCTATTCTTGTTCTTCTTGCTCGCAAGCGCACTCTTTTCACTCGTGTAGCCGGAAAATTCTCTCATTTTTCGCTAATACTGCAGAATTTCCAGCGATTTATCAGAGGGCCGCCGGATTTAGTCAGAGGGCCACCCCATATGCCGCCATGACCATTACCTCACCGAGTAAGTGTTGTTTACTTAGCTTCCTTCTTACGTTTACTTCTATATGTGGTTCGCGTGGAATATATTGAAATGAAGAGTTGAAATAAGAATCTTTCTTAAAGCCAGAAAACCTGATCATGAAATGCATTTGCATTACCATATAAATGTTCTTAATGGGCTCTGGTTTGATTGTGCAGCACCTGGTGTTGGTAATAAGACACTTGAGAATCAATGTGTAGATGAAGAAAAAGAAGAACAGCTTATCGTACTAAAGCAGAAGTTGCTGGAAATTGGAATTAATCCCAAACGTTGTTTGCCTGGACAATATAATGGCTTGATTTGTCCTAAAGTATGTGGTAGCTGATGTTTTTCCTATCACTTCATGCTTAGTGTACCGTAAAACTTTTACTTTCTTGTGCTCTGGATTTTGTAGTATGAGTTAGCGTGTAACGCTTGCTGTATTTAGTTTTGAGGGTCACTTCATATGCTGATTCAGATTGTAGAAAATGAATAAACAGATTTTTAC